ATTAGTAATATTATAAATGCGAAAGTTTACATGTATGTTTGTAAGAGTTTTTAGCCTAAACAGAATCGATGATATTTGTCATAGATGTCTGAAAGAGGTAAGGATAGTCTGAAAGAACACAGACTATTTTGCTTTTTTTAATTAAACGCGGATGGAATTACAGGCGAAATACTATAAGATTCCTATAAACTCTAAAAATTAATGTAAATTACCCAAAAGTCACTTGTTTGTGAATTTTTCATTAAATCTCTTTAGAATACGAAACAAAAGTTTTTACATTTTAAGAAGATTTTCAATAGGGGATCAGAAATCAAAGGGATGTCAGTACGAATGCCAAATTATTTGGTTTGCTAAAGATAAAAATGACCGCTATAAACACATTATTTTGGACGTACGGGCAATTTTTAGTCGAATCTTATTTTTACGATTTTTTTTAAATTAAATATCTTCAATGCTATATAAAAATCGGGCAACACTGAGTTTAAACGATAACTATTGTGATCATCTACCTCCACAAAAGTCAGTTAAGAAACACCCTATAATGAAAAAAAGGAACCAGAAGATTGTTGTTTACCTGTATGATGTAGGATAAAGGTCAACAAAGTAGGAGGAGACGACGCCGAAGACCATGGCGGTGGTGAGGAAGATGTAGAAGAAGATGAGGCCGGAGATGGGCTCGCCCGTGTTGTCGATCACGAAGGCCGCCGCGGCCGCCACCAGCAAAATGCTGATGGACAGCACCTGATGGATGCAGGGTTTAGGTAAAGGTCACTGTAGAGGTCAAATTACAACTTACTCTTAAGATATCTTATTCATTACTTACTCATAAGGTAATGACGCAAAATTGGACGTTTTTTTTTGTACTTTATTACTATAAAAACATAACTAGATAACTAGTTTTTTTTTAGTATAATGTGTTTTAGTAGCGTTAATAATTAAAGTGTCTTTGTTAAAATTTCCACGCCAAGTTCTAAAACGCAACACTATCGATTGAAGCAAGTTATAGGTAAATTTAATTACTTTTTGACTTTTGATAGCTCGGAGAACCAATCAAATGCTTTGCTGTTGATGACGTCATAACACTCCGGCACACTACAGCCGCGTTTTGATATCTTGTATTTAATAATATCTTTCTTCTGTTAATGTGTTTTTCATTAAAAGGGTTGTTATTTATGTGAGTGATAAGTGTGATGTACCTTCCTCCTGCCGGCGCAGTGCGAGATGAGCGCGTTGAGCAGGAAGAAGGAGAGGCCGTGAGCGCAGCCTGCCCAGATCGTGTTGTCCTCGATGCTGCCGGAACACTCGGAGCCTTCCTGCAAACAGACTTTCAGCAAGAAAGAACTTCCTAAAAGTAAATTTTCCATCATCGATACTAATATTATAAAGAGGAAACGTTTGTATTTTTGTATGTATTGAAAAACCTCAAAAACTACTTGGCCGATTGTAATAATTCTTTCACTATTAGGAAGGTCATTTATCTGTCAGTAACATAGGCTTTTTTATTATTTTCTAATATCACGGGAGCAAAGTTACGGACAACAGCTAGTATGTTACATTTAGAGAGTGTTGTCGGTACGTGTATAGAGGATAGGTAATCATAAATGATTAAACAGTTAGTCTAAGTAACCTGGTTGTTTTATTACAAGTTCCCGCCACTCGACTTGGCCCAGTCGGTACGATGAAGACTGTGTGAACACATTTTACTAAAATATCGCACAACCGTATAGTTTTACATTGATTCCTATGAGCTTATATGAGGGTACACTACTTGATTGTTACCTGTGCAACTAAACAGTTGCGTGTAAAACAATCGACAATCATACAACCGTTTTGCGATTGTTTAGTCAAATTGGCGCAGGCTCTTAGTATTAAAATAACTGGTTAACCTTAGCAACGCTAATTCTGTCGTGTCCCGCGAGCACGGTGGTGTTGTCCTGGCCGGCCATGCGGAAGAGGTCGCAGAAGCCGGCGCCGGCGCCGCTGCTCGCGTACGACGTGAAGAACACGTTCAGGATCGTCGGCAGAATGATCGCGAAACTGTTGTTACTGAAGCGAATACGCTGGTCGTTAGATAACTCGACAGTGAGAAATAAAGAAGACATTATAAACAAAATCATACTTAATATTATAAATGTAAAGCTTTATATGGATGGATATTTGTTAGAGTTTGTAGCTTAAACGGCTGAACGGATATCGATGTGTAGAGGATATTCTGAAAGAACACATAGGCTACTCACT